AGTCACGTTGTGAGGATGCAGATGAGGTAAAGTATCTGAGTCGATGTCAAAGCTTCTTAAGACTCGGGCCGTAGGGTTAATGACAGGTGTCTCAGTACCTGTGTAACCTGCCTAAGGCCCCCCCAGCCAGCAGACCGGAAAACAGGGGCTGCCATTGAGCAAATTCTCTTTGAATGGCACACTCCAGGCCCACATGTACATGTGTGAGACACATGAAACACACACACACGCACACACGCACACGCACACACACACACGCACACACACACACACACACACACACGCCTATGCGTTCGGTGGTTCCAGGGACAGGCTGCCTGGGCCCCCGGATGGGAGCTGAGCACAGCCACCACTGAGGCAGTAGAGCCTGATCTAAAATGACCAAGTTTCTTTCATGCTGACAACAACAAATAGCGGGGCTTCAGATGTGGGTGACTCAGTTGTTTGTGGTTTGCAAACCCCTAGCCCTGACCCTCCTGCAAGGTGGATGCTCTGCTCTGAGAGGGTAGGCCCCTGCCTACTTTGCCTGGGGGCTGTGTGTGGAAGTGAGCAAGGTCATCTGTGAAGGGGGGACTAGGAGGGTTTCTATTTAGACCTATTTTTTAGATAAAAGATAAACTTTAATATATAGTATGTTTTGACTGTAGTGCATATTCTTATACATAAATATTCGTAATTAAAAAAGTTTGGAGACCACCACCTGGGAGATCAGTGAGGGCTTTATACCCTGTCAGGAGCCTGTTCAGAGTAGATGCTGGGTGAGGGAAGGGAGGGTGGTGGAGGGGCTAGTGAGGTCTGGGTGTAGAATGGTTTGGACCCGGTTAGATTACCAAATGTCACCAACAGTGTGGACCTTCCTGGCCCCCACACCCCCTACACCCCGAGCCCTCACTCTGCCTGCCCATCCTCAGGCTGCTTAAACCCCACGTGGGTTCTAGAATCTTTGGCCGCCATGCTTCCTGCAAGGGAGAGAGTGGTCCTGTGTGATACCAGGCTGAAGTGTGGCTGGGGTCCCAGTAGCTGCCCTGTGTGCTGTGTCACCCCCAGGAGAAAAGTCCCTGGCGGGAGGCGGCCCTCTGCCGGGAGGCTGTTTCCTCAACCGGCCAAGGTAAGAAGTGGGGGATTTCCAGCCCGGTCCACTGTGCTAACTTCAGTCCTGGGGGCTCCTCTCCTTTCTCATGCAGCCCAGGCCTGGGTGGGGACAGAAACTCGTTAGACCCAATAGTTGGCTAAGGGACGTAGGGGCACCAGAGTCAGCTAAGCTCAGGAGCCTCCACTAATTGCTCTGTGCTCTGGAGGGAGCCGAGCCCAGGGCAGGACCCCATGGCTGCACCTGGAACCAACAAGGACGCAGCTGGGGAAGACCCCGATGGGCCTGCTGGTGCGGCGCTGGGCTGGAAATCCAGAGCCACACTTACTCATGGGTCTGTGGGCAATGACTCAAATCAATGAATGCCCCTGCCAAACCCTGATCTGCTCTGATTCTGGTGGTCAGGGGAATGGCAGGCCTCACCCTTTAAGGCTCTCCTAACCGGCTGGCACTTCCAAGGATACTGGAAAGTCAAATGTGGGCCCCTTGGGAGCTGGGGGCCAAGAGCTCACAACCCAGACATTGTGTCCTGGAAACTTGACCCAGGAAAGGAGAGCCATACCCTGTATTCCTCCGCTGTGGGCAGCTGGGCAGGGAGGGCGGGTGCAATCCTGGGGGCTGAGTGAAGGGAGAGGTAGACAGTTGTGACCCAGCTCCAATGTCGGCCCACTCGGGCCCAGGCACAGGCCTAGGAAACAGCTAGACTCCTAGTTGACCTTCACGGAGATTCTCCTGTGCATCAGCCATTGGCAAGTTTCAGTTCATTACCTGGTTTGTATGTGTTTGCTTTGTGCATGTGTATATGTGCTTGGTGCACATGTACGCATGCTTGTAGGTTTGTGTGATTGAGGTATGCCAGATGGAGGAATAGGCAGGGACTCATGCAAGACCCCTGAGCAGGAGAGAATCTGAGAGGTGAATTAATAAATCCAGCTACCATCGGTGCAGGCTTGCAACATGCCATGATAACATACATGCGTTATCACCAATCTACACAGCAGCCAATCCTCTGAGAAAGGTGTTATTATCTCTGTTTCACAAATTGATAAATTGAGTGAAGCTTAGAGAAGTTCAATGCCCAGCCAGAGGTCACGCAGTGAGTAAATCTAGGTCAGGATTGGAACCCAGGTCAGCCTAAGGCCAAGCCACCGATCTCTCCAGCGCGCTCTCTCAGCATGCTCCTCCTCAATTATGTTCCATCTGCTCCTTGTCTGAGGCCCTGGCTGGCCTGGTCTGAGGTGACAGGCCCTTCCCCTCCCCGTTTCCCCTCCCCTCCAGTCAAGGTGGCAAAGCAGAGCCTGTTCAAGGCCTCACACAGCCCAGGATGCTGCGCCTAGACCTTCCCACATCAAGTCAACCCCCAGTTCAGAGAGGGTCTGGCTGGCCTTGGGCAGGATCAGCTAGGGCTGAGCTGGGCAGCTGTTTACAGTAAACAGAAAGCTCCTGAGGAAGGAAGGAGGGGAGGGGCTGGGGTCGTCATGGAGACAGGGACTAGCAGCCAGGCCTCTGCTCTGATTCACAACTGGGAAGTCATCCCTGCCCCTCCTAGAGCCAGAGGAGGCCCAAGGAAGGTCTGGACTGGGCAGCCTGAGCAGGAGAGGCAGGGCAAATAGGCTGGGCCTCAGACCCGTACCACTGAGAACACCACTGCCCACCTCATTATGTATTTCTACTTATGAACAGTAACATCTACTGGGTACTGACTTTTACAGCATACGTGGCCCTGGGCCCTTGAGGATATGTTTTCTTATTTAACTTTAACAACAACCGGGAGGTAGGTACAAAAATAGCTTCTAACTTATAGATGAGGAAATTGAGATTCAGCAAGGTTAAACCATTTGTGAAGTCACACAGCTTGTAAGTGACAGTAAAAATTTTGGATCGAACACTTTTTTACCAAGGCAGGTGGGAGATAAGCTAGGTGGTGGAGCTCTGAGTCCCTTGGCTAGTGGGGAAACTGAGTCCCTCGGGGACCAGGGGGAGTTTCCCAGGCTTCTGGCCTTAGTCAAAGAGATTGCTGGGGGCAGAACCCATGTGTCCCAGTCCTAACCACCAGACCACACGGCTTCTCCATGGCTTAAGCTGGGAAGGTCCAAAGAGAAACTCCCTTTCCTGCCCCAGCCTGGAGTGTAGACTCTTCCCCAGCTAGCAGGCTGCCCCTGCGGAGGCCGGGCTGGGCCAGGGTACGGTGGGGGATGCTGGGGGGTTTCTGCCCACACATATGGTTTCCAGATTCCAGGGGATGAAAAGGAGGCCCTGAGGGGCGGAAATGGGGGATCTTCCCCCGCCTATTATTACAGGTTAACTCTTTCGGCGCTGCGCCGTGTCGCCCCCCTGTGGCAGCGGAGCAAGCTACTCACCTGGCCCCAGGTCGTCTCCAGGCGCGTGCCAAGCTTCGATGATGAGTGAGAAGGTGCCCTGGGAAGCGGACGGAGCGGGAGGGGGAGACAGAGAGATAGCGAGATGAGCACGGGGGTGGTGGGGTGCCTTGTGGCAGCCGGTTTAATTAATTTAATTGCAGGATACAGTTACTGCGCCCGGGTCAACCTAACGGGTCTGCGCACAGCATCGCGCACGAGCACGAAAGGCGAGAGGAGAACTCCGGGTAGGAGGAGGGTTGAAGGATGGGGGGAACGTACCCGAGAGCCTTTCGGAGGCAGGGGACGCACGAGGATGATAAAAATCATATCCCAAGAACAGGGAGAAGAGAGGGTGTAGAACTGGGAAAGGGAGACTGGGGAGAGCCTTTCAAAGGATGAAGTCCCAGGAGAGAGTCGAAAGAAAGGATCAGAAGAGACCGCCTCTTGTTTTGTTTCGTAGGGGAGCAAGGAAATCTGGGGAGAAGGCTTTGGTCTCAGGGACCCCCCGCCCCCGCCACCTCTTGGTTTTCGTGACCTCCCAGTGCGCCCAGGCTGTGCTCACCGGCCAGGTGAAATTGAAAGGCAACTGGAGAGGGTTGCGTCCTCCGCCGCTACTGTCGTCCCGGACCACGAAGGAGTTGGTGCCCAACACAGGTGTGGAGACGCTGCCGAAGGTGCACGGCCCCGGCGAGACGACCGCTTGGAAATGCTTCAGGCAGACGCGGAAGAAGGTCCGGCAGCCGGGTTCGCAGGGCAGCCCGCTGGCCAGTATGCCTTTCTCGTTGGCAAACTCCTGCAGCTGCAGCTGGAAGACTCCGGAGCCGGCCGCGCGCTATTGCACAGGGACCAGGGAAGGAGGGAGGGGAGCCGTCAGCTCGGTGGACGCCCGGGCTCTGGCCCAGAGCGCGGTGGGAGGGGGCGAAGGGGGCGCGGGACGTTACCTGCTGACAAAGTGCCACCAGCAACAGTAGCGCCCAACCAGACGCGCTACTGGAGGCGGCTGCCATTCCCTGGGGCGTCGCTCTCTCCACCCGCCCGCCCTGAAGCTGGCTTGGTTCGGGACGCCGCCTCCCCGTGCGTCCACCCGCGGAGGAGTCTCTGAAAAGCCAGGCTCCGCTCGGAGTCTTCCTCCTGCCTCGGCTCCCCGCTAGGTCCGCTCAAATTGCCGCGGTAGGTTATCCAGGTGAGGACGGCTGGGCGGCGGCCGCGTTGAGGATGTGTCCTCTGGCTAATCCTGGGGCTGCAAGCCGGCTAGTGCCCGCGTCCTCTGCACTGAGGCGGCTGGAGCTGCCGCTCTCGGCCTCGAGATCCCAGCCTGCGCTCAGCGCCGCTACTGAAACCTGCGCGCTCGGGAGCCTTCCTTATATACATTGGCTCCTCTCCTCTTTGCCTGTC